TATAGAAATGGTATAAAACCGACGGATTTGAGAGTATTTCATATGATTTGTGGTTTCATTTCACCCAAAAGTATCGCAATTAATGATAAGATATTAGTGAATAGATTATGTAATATTACTAGAAAATTATTAAAATTATCAAGACTATTTCCATATATAACTTCAACATTATGTTTTTATGTTGTCGGTAGTGCTTTTTTATTGTGGAATAACCTAGTGTACATAATATTTTTAGGGATTCCACATTTGATTTATTATTTATATTTCGCATATCATTTTACAAATATTCAACTTTATCAAGGTGTTTATTATTATATAATAACTTATTATTTGAAAAATAAAACCAAAGACTTAAACGTAGAAATATCTAAACGTTTGCGTAAACCACAAAACACTAACTCTTATTACAACTATTGGTTTGTAATGAAAACTATACGAGAATTGAATGCAATTTATGTGGAAATCAATGACTATAACCGTAATTATTGGTCTAAATATTTGGCACTCATTTGGTTCACACAGTGTTTTACTATTTGTTATTTTATGTATTTATTATTTTTTACGAAACTTATTATTGCAACTATAATAACGGCAGTGTATATAAGTTTAACATATTCAATTGTATTGCTCTTAATAATACACATTTCAACCCAATTATATAATGAGACAGAATACACATATATTGCATTGAATTCATACATTACTCATACAAAACTAATACCCATTAAAAGCAAACTTAAAGTATGTCTCTCTCTCTCTCCCTCTTTAACTCATTTAAAAATTAAATTTTTAAAACATTTGTATAGTTATCAAATACATTGGAAAGGATTGGCAGAAAAAGGATTGGATTTTATTGTTGGAAACTATTCATTATAAACAGATTCCGTGGATATGAGGTATATGCGATACATTGACATCAAATATAATTGATAACATTTTCTCACATTTCAGATGATATCATTCATATGTATGCTATTTCTGCGATTGTGTTCATAAAATCATGTCTGACTGACCAGCATAATATGTAGTCACATAAATATTTAATGTTTAAATATTGTTTTCTAATTTAGATAATAAGATTATATCAAATTATTGTGTCCTATTTGTGTTATATTATTGAAAATAATTTAGCATCTAATCATATAATATCACATAGGGTGTAAAATAAACGTTGCACTTATATATATGAACTTATACTTTAAATATAAATAAATTTTTAAAAATTAAATAATGATCAAAAATATTGACATTAATTGTAAAGTTTATGCCCGTTAATTTTAATTTATTTTTTGAAATAAATTTAAAATAATATAAAGCGATAAAATAAAATTAAAATAATCAGTTTTTAATAAATGTCAAAATTAATTTTTTAATTTTAGTTTTTATTATATTTTTAGTTTAAAAGATAAAATTTGTGTCATTTGTACAATATATTAATCTATTAGGTGTTCAATATATTATTTCAATAATGAAATTATTATAAATTATCAATATTTATTTATACAAAACCTTATAAAATAAATACTCAGCAAAAAATATTATTAAAATCATTGCACAAACTTAACAACGAAAACAAAATGATTTACAAACTGTTATCACTTACCACTTCATACAATAACCATTTAAAATTTATCATTGTAAAATTTATTTATAGATTTTTATATACAGTTAGATATTGATAATTATCTAAACTTGAAGCTAACGTTAGTAATTTTGTAGCTTTATTTCTAGTTATCATTACATCTACCTTTACATCAATATTTATAATACAAATTATACCGTAATTATAATTATAATTATAATTTTTAATACAGTTATTATAATTATTAATTTATTTCAACATAAATTCTTTATATTATAGAAAAGTGATAAACTTATAATGAGGATTAATTAAGCAATTAACTGAAATGAATGTCATAATAACTGAAATACGTGTAAGGTCATTTATTGTTAAGTATAAGCATAGTTGTATTAATATCTAAATATAGCGTTTTATTATTTCGCAATCCCGGATAAAAACGGTTGACAAATACTGAAAACATATCATTGTTATTTAACTTTTCTAAATATAAATACATGAAATGATACTGGTAAATAAACATGAAATAAAATCGCATTTTTCTAAGAAATATACATTCAATCTAATCATATAAATGACATTAACCGCGATAACGCAGTAAAAAATTGTTGAAAATATATATAAAAATACTAATATACCATAAAATACTTGACAATAATATTTAATTAAGTTATCATGACAGTTTTATTATTAGATTTGTTAACTGTTTTAATCGATTCCAGCTCGTTTAGTATAAAAACAGCATACTATTGTTAAATACATTGAGTCAAATGTTTTCCATATAACAATATGAATAAATATACTTGCATCACGATTCTCGTTGTAATTATCCCAGGTAATAACATCAACTTATCATGAATGTATTTTCTTTGTCATTTAATTAAGCGTTTTTTACCCAATGTTGTGAATAATCACAATTAACTTTATACAGTATTTTCCTATTGCTTTTCATTTTAGGTTAGGTTAGATAATTGTAAGTGTTTTAAACTAGCATGACTTTTAATGATTATAATTTAGTTCATTTTTCAAATTTGAAATTAACATTTTGAAATAATTGTAAAATTTTACAAACAATTTTATTTTAGTTGTACTTGGTGATATACCATGTTCGGATCCATCGAGCTTAGTTGGCCAGTATGTTGGGGAATCGCATGAGTGCGTGGCCTTGGTCAAAGCCAAATGCAGTAACATGGTCAGTTTTGTCACATCTAAATGGGTGCGAGGTAGAAACATCAAGGACAATTGCAACTCGATCTCTAAATACACCGCAGTGGCCACGTTCACAGCGCCCGGCAACAAGTACCTTGGTCACGCTGCCATTTTTGAATCGTGCGACACGGATGGCGTGTGGGTATGGGATCAATGGGTGGGTCAGCCCACACATCGCCGTAAGATGAGGTTCGGTAATATGAGTAACTGGCCATCCAATGATGGTTCGGCTTTGTATACAGTGGAACGTTAAAGTGTGCTTGGTGCTTGACAATATTATTATAAGTACGTATAACATGGAAAATTAATGCTAGTACCGGTATACAATTAATAAATATTGTTAATTTTTAAAAATTAAAATTTTCTTATCATAAACTGGCAATCCCAAAGTTTTTAATTTCAAAATTACATTTATAAATTAGTATTAAATTGATAATATTTGTAAAATACATATTTAATAAACAATAACTAATATTAAGAAACTATTTTTGTAATTTATTAAAAACTGATTATTTGGATTTTATTTTATTGTTATATTTTTTAAAATTCATTTCAAAAAATAAATTAAAATTAACTTACGCAAACATTACAATTAATGTTTATATTTTTGATCATTATTTTATTTTTGAAAATTAATTTTTATTTATATTGTATAAGTATTTATATAAGTCCAACGGTTATTTCACTTATCATATATTTTCTATAACAACAACAAACATATCACAATACAATGGAATTTTATCTTTATTATACAGTTATCTGAATATAAATATATGAAATCACAATGGTAGATAAACATATAATAAAATATTCTTAAATCAAACCATATAAATATCATTAATAATGCCAACTTTTTCAATATAAAACAACCATTGTTAAATTAATTCAGTCAACAAAGTCAATTTAACAATAAAAATAAATAGACTTGCATCGCGATATTCACTGTAAATCAACTACAATAATTATAAATAATTACTTTATTGTAAATGAGTATAATATTATATTATATTTATCATATTTACGATGACAACGCCTTTCATACCACAATCAACAAGGACTTCATTTTGTATTTTATAATAAATAAATAATTTACTTATATGTGCAGTGAATAGTGTTTCAAAAATTCAATTGCGGTTATAAATCAATTTTAAAACTTATTATCATTGTGTGAAAATGTCTACTATTTTAAATCAGTTTCGCATTTGTGATACGATTGACACGAATATGAAAACAGAAATAAAATTATTTCATGTTTTCGATGACTCGAGTCATAACAAGAATATACTATTCGTCACAAACAATGACACCGTCTATGGTTTGGGAGGAAATGGTAGCGGATATCTAGGTTTGGGTAATAATAATACCGTCAAAACGCCGCTAATTATACCGGAATTGTGTGGACAAGGGATCCAACAGTTTATCAATGGTTCGGACTTTGTATTGGCAATCAATGAGGACAACCATGTTTTTAGTTGAGGTCACAATATATGGGGACAATTAGGGCGAGAGATGATTGGATCTACAGATTACTCAAAACCACGGAAAATATCGCATTTGAATGATAAAAATATAATACAACTAAGTTGTGGACTTCAACACAGTCTGGCCCTCACAACAGATGGTCAGGTGTACGGGTGGGGCGATAATCATTATGGACAAGTAGGTTGTGGAATTAAAACAAGTACGATTATCGGTTCGCCATATTTATTAGAATTTGAAAATAATTATCAAATCATAAGTATATTTTGTTTTTCTAATACTTCATTTGCCATAACACTTAATAATATGGTATTCAGTTGGGGTGATAATAGTCAGTATAAATTAGGACATGATCTTACGTATAATGTAATATCACCCAAATTGATCCCATATTTGCGTGATATAAAATCAATCAATTCAACAGAGCATGATAAAAATAATTTAACATATTTTATAGCGAATACTGGCATAATATATTTCTGTGGTAACTATACCAAGAGTACAATAATTTTAATAAGTTTAAACAAAAAACAAACACAAAAAACATCAGTTAAAACTTTATTTAAATTAAATGTTCAAGAAAGTTGCGCGCTATGCTCACACCAGAGACACCCAGTAGCAATTGAAAGTGATAATATTATTTATGAAATTATTAATCCAAGTAAAGTGAAAAAAACTAAGTATAATAACTTTATTGACTATTATGCACAATATTGTCAGATAAGTTACAATACGTTAAATTGTTACGAAACAAATCCGAAATTAAATCAAAATGTGATTGATAATTCAAATGAAGGTAGTACATTTATCAAATATCCCATTCATAATGAAATTACTAATGTTTATTGTTAATGTTAAAATTATTTAATTAATTAAGGCTTAAATAATAATTCACCGGATAATCATTACAAACATCAATTCATTGAATTGCTGGATAACCCAATTGGGACGGGTTATTTTGGAACGGTATTTAAAGTTAAACATAAATTTGATAAACACATGTACGCAATTAAAAGAGTTGAAATAAAAAGTAAATATACATTTAATATTATATACAATATATTAAACAAAGATAAAAATTTTAAAAATATAATTTAGACTTTACTGAAGAATATATTGAAGAAATTTTTAAAGAAGTTACGAAATTAAGAGAACTTAACTCAAAATATGTGGTTCAGTATTATAATTCATGGTTGCAACGTAAACATCTCTACATTCAGATGGAATTTTGTTCACATGATTTAGGAAAAATTCTGGAAATTAAAATAAATGTATTTTCAAGAGAATTAGGAGAAGCCATGGATTGTGTCGAGTATTTCATTTCGTGTGAAATATTGCGACAAATCTTAGAAAGTGTTCAGTATTTGCATGAATTGAATCCACAGATCATTCACAGAGACCTCAAACCAGAAAACATATTAATTTCCCAAAATGTAAGGAACGGTAGATTTGTTAAATTATGCGACTTTGGTTTGGCTGTAGAACACAGAACGGCCTCTCAAAGTCTCTCTAAAAACAAGGGAACTCCTAAATACATGGCACCAGAATTAGGTCAATCAAGGTATACCAATAAAGTTGATATATTTAGTTTAGGAGTTATTGCGATGGAATTATTCGATATAATATTAGAGTATGTATAATAGTTATAATTTTTTAATAAATTATATAAATCATAATTAAATTTATTTCAGTGGGAGTGAGCTGGATAAATATTCGAAATTGCCATTTAAAGAAAATATACAAAATATATTAAATATATTTGTATCAATGGTTTCTTACGGACCAATTATGAGACCTGAATGTTATGATATTTTACAAGATAATGATAAATGGCTAATACCCAAATCTATTATTGAATTAAATATTCAAAAATTTACTCCATTTATATATCAACATAAATTACATGAAAACGCAATATTTCATGAAATTATATCCTATAAAATTACCGAGTTTAATTCACACTCCATAAGACACGGGCAATCCATAGCCATTGATGATATTATATGTGAGATCATATCAACAAATCCGTATAAAAAGAAAACTAAATATAAAGATATAATAGAAAGTTATTCAAAAGGGAACACATATCATAAAGTTGTGGACAATATTTCATTAGATACAAACTTGACTATGGTCACTCAAGGTAACATGTTATGCATATTCAAATGTTTATTATTTTAAAATTTTATAAATATCATAAAAATTAGGAAATGATTCGTTTGAAAATCACTTCAAAAGCATGTTCATTTAGTTATCGACAATCGGTTCGGGAGGGTTTGGAACCGTATTTAAAGTAAAATATAAATCGGATTAACAGATATATGCCGTCAAACAAGTCGAGTTAAAAAGTAAATGAAATTAATTAAATTAAAAATCAATATTTTAATATAATTATTCTATTATATCTTAAGCAATAATGAAGATTATTTAAAACGAATTTTGAATGAAGTAAGGAATTTAGGAAAAGTGCGTTCAGAATATGTGGTCCCGTATTACAACTCATGGCCCGAAAGCAAACACCTCTACATTCAGATGGAGTATTGTTCACAAAATTTAAGGAATATTATTGAAGTGAAACCACAAGTATTCGGTAGACAATCAGGAGAAGCAATGAATTGTTTCGAGTATTTCATTTCGTGTGAAATATTCCGTCAGACCTTAGAAAGTGTTCAGTATTTGCATGAATTGAATCCACAGATCATTCACAGACCTTAAACCAGATAATATATTGATTGCTGAAAATGTGAGGAACGGAAGATTTATTAAGTTATGTGATTTTGGTTTGGCTACAGTTCACGAGGATGACATCTATGATTTGACTCCTGATAAACACACAACAGGTGTGGGCACTGTAAAATACCTGGCTCCCGAAATTTCTAATGGAATGAAATATGGCCATAAATCAGACATTTATAGTTTGGCATTAATTGGCTCTGAGATATTTGATTTTAACCTCTTTTATTATGACTCTGATAAGTATGGACTGTTTTTATGTAATATAAAGAGATAAATTATAATTTGTTTACAAATACATAGTGTTGAAAGCATTTATTCCGGGAATGAAATCCTAAATGGAAAAGTGTTTACTTAGGAAAAGATTTTATTCACAATGATATCGACTCCCCAATGGAACAAAAGGCCGGAATGCAGTGAAGTATTGTCCGAATATAACGAGTGGTCTATTGATAGGAATATTATCGCAAATGATGGCCAATTTGAAACCACATTAAGAGGACTACAATTACATAATAAATTTTTCTATGAAGTTTTTTCATATACGTTTAACATGCTAGAAAAATGAATATAATTTTAAGTATTGAATATTCTGTAATATATACCATATTTCAGGCTTAAGATATGGTATGGAATCTATAACATTATTGACTACTTGACTTGACTAGTTTGAGTTAGATTGATCCTAAACGATTATGTAAATCATTTGGTGATACTTTTATGATTTTGATTTCAATCAAAATATTTAGGGTGATCGCACGTGCTTTGCATTTAAATGACTTGATATTTGCCCATCTCTAATAACATCTATTCAATTTTTACTTAGACTTTTCTCACATTGATGAGTAAAATTATTAATTGTAATCAAATCGTTTCCTTTGTTAGATTTAATTACATTTAAGTCATCCTTATTGTAATACAACTATTTATCCAAATGAGTAGAATTTTCATAAGACTTTCATAATAAACAAACTACTTTCATAATATTTTAATAATATAAATCAAGTTTTATTTTATAAATTTTAATAAAGGTGCCATACATGTAATATTGGTTAATTTTATATTGTAAACAAAATAATGGGCCAAACAGTAATAAACTTTTTTATAAATTTATAAAAAACTATTAGTAAAATTTGGATGATACGTGTGTTTACTATAAAGATTATGTAAAAATTAACAAGAAAATTTAGTTTAATTTAGAAAATTCTTATGGATGACTTAACATTGTCCCCCGCAACCCATCTGGAGAACTGCGCCATCGGCGGTAGAAAGGAGTACTATTCTCCAGAATTGTGGACGTCTGACAACGCTAACATTATGTGATATATCAATATAAACACACATTAGCCTCCGTTTCCACTGCACTGTCAGTACATACGAGTCAATGACTTCATAATACACACCAGAAGCAGATAATTCTGAACATAGTTCTCGCAAAACAAGAATATTCTGCAAAAATATTCCCCAAATGATTGGCGCATTATAATTAAAATTTATTATCAAAATAGTTGCTTTTATCATATAGAAAATACCCTGCTAATATCTCTTGGTACGAGAACTCTAACTAATTTAATTTAAAAGTTAATTCTTAACGTTTCTAAAGCCTATCCACTAACACATAACGACTGTAATGTTTTCTCAATAGAAATCTCTGTTTTCAAAAGCAAATTAAAGCCCAGGTGTTAGCTTTCAAATTAATTTTAAAATATTTAGAGTTAGCAAGAGATATTAGCAGGGTATGTTTTATATGGTGTAAACTACTATTTTTAATAATAAACTAGACAAGTCGTAAGAATTGGAATTAAAGTTACTAATCAATTAGCCTTAATTTTATATTAATTGTCATATATAATACATATACAATTATAATTGTGAAATTAAATTTAAACGTATTACAATTTAAAATTTTTAAATTTCTATTAAGAAAGGTATGATAGGGGGAAGCATATTACCGTAAATTTATAATAAAACAAAAATAATGTTTCCATAGTAATTCAAGTAGTCTAAAACTTTTATACTAAAAATTGTTTACACGTTTCAAAAGCATACGGTTTTTGGCAATTAATTCATAAGAAATTAATAAATTTTTACAAAACTCCCGATAATTTTCTTACACAACATGTCTGTCCACAACCGCTACAAAATAGTAGCTATACTTGTCGTATGCCTAATGTCGGCGCTAACTGTCCACTCGGACGCCACCAACACGTATAACATCGGGAACGACAGCATTGCCCACTTGACGGATCATACTATACACACACCCGGTGCCAACACTCACCTATTCGTCGGTAATATTACATCCCCGGCCAGTAACACGTCCCTATGGGCTGCCAGTAGTACATCCCCTGACGCTAACAGCTCCCTATTGGCCACAAGAACCGCATCCGAGACCCGAAACACATCCCTAATGGCCTCCAGTATGACATCCGAGGCCGCGAATAGCTCCCTATTGAGCGCCGGTATGTCATCGGCAACCGGTAATAGAAATATTACCGCGCAGTCCCTATCGAGGAGTGCATCCCTGGCCACCAATAATAGCCGATCGGAGGCTAGTGATACCCACTTGGCTGCCAGCGCTACCTACTCAGCCGGAAACAACAAAATATTCGCCGGATTCAGTGGTGGAGTCTCATCGTACAGGACATCATACCTGTCCCCAAATAATAGACCGCTAATCGGCACCCATATCCCGGTCAGAGCTGTTAACCCAAATAATAGGCGAAGCAATTTTGCAGCCAATTTTGTACCATATTTTGGACCCTCGTTTGGACCCCATTTTGGACCCCACTATGGATCTAATTTTGGACCCTATTATGGACCCAATTTTGGTCATAATTTTGGATCAAATTTTGGATCAAATTTTGTCCCCCATTTTGGACTGGATGTCCCCCATTGGAGCGCATTTGTCCCGAGTTGGAGACGGAGGGTTAGAGTCCCCGTCAACACCGCCGCCCCCGGGCGCCAGTAATGTCCAGAGCACCGGCAGTTTTAGCGATTTGATAATTTTTTTTGATTTTATAGATGTTGCTCTGATTTTAATTATAATATAATTAATATATTGTATTAATAAAAGTGTTATATTTTTTTTGTTCGCTATTTATTTTGGTGTTTATTTGTTAATTTGGGGGTTAAGGGGTCGTCAAGGGATTCAGACAATGTTGACTTTACGGGTAACTCAGCTCAGGGTAGGGGAGCCATTGCCCAGGATTAAAATATCGTCTTTAAAATTAACTTTCTCGGACTATTTAATTTGTGTTTTAAATATGATATATAGATATAAATAATTATAAATAAATAAGCTAAAATAATTTAATTGTTTTGGCAAATGCTTTGTATGTAAATTAGAGGATTTAATAAATAAAAGTGTAATTATATAATAATAACACTTTAAAGTTGGTGTAGAGATAATACTGTACAGTAGTAATGAACAGTATAAATATAAATAATTCATACGAAATATTTATAAATAAATGATTAAATATTGAGATATCTGTGCGATTAATACCAATCAATATCACAAATAGCATGTGATATATAAATATAAACAGATATTAGCCACCATTTCCACCGCACTGGCAGTACATACGAGTAAATTACTTCATAATATACACCAAAAACAGTGAATTCTTAACACAATTCTTGCGAAACAAGAATATTCTGCAAAAATATTACGCAAATGATTGGCTCAACCCATTGGCTAACCTTACGTCTCATACTATGGGCGGTCACAGCAATCGCGCCGTACGAGTGCTATAGGGGTGCGGCCGATGAGGTGCGGCACCTGCCGGGCCTCGACTTTGCCCTCCCTTTCCGGCACTATTCGGGTTATCTGAACGCAACGGACGACCGGTTCCTACACTACTGGTTCTTCGAGAGCCAATTCCGGCCCCAAACCGACCCATTGGTGCTGTGGCTGAATGGAGGGCCGGGATGTTCCAGTGTTTTGGGCGCACTCACAGGTATTTCCCAACTAATTATGTCTAACTTTAGGGGGTTTATAGAGGGAGGGTTTGGAGTGTGATATTATCAGGTTAAGTATTAAGTATATGCACTAGCTATTTTTTGGTAAAAATTACCTGCCATTAGCTATGACCATGGTAATGGTATCACCAAACGCAATGGTCCAGGGCTAAATATATGTCAAACAAGTCACCTTTCAACAAATTATTTAAATTTTATTGAGTTTATTAATACCATTTACAATTATAATACATTACAAATTATATTAGTTTTATTTTGAATAAATATTGATATATAAAATCAGTAATTATAATAT